AGACTCAAAAGTCACAGAAAATTGAACGACGGTGGGGGGTTGTACAACCGATTCTGCGCTTTCTTGCGGGACATAGTAGATACCGTGTGATTCCAAGCCATACTTATTTAATTAAATTAAGTCAAATGCATGTATCCGATTGCATCATCAAAGCATCTTCAAAGAATTTTTACAAGAGATGAGCGAAAGGTGTACTGTTAATTTGTAAAAGGGCGATAAAATCGCCCTTTTGAAGTAAATCACAAACTTTGTATACTATAGTTTATGTAAGTGGCGCACGAAACCGGTGAAGCTAAAGGTTTAAAGGGTAGAAGCTAACCCTGTCAACCCGTTAACCCTTTAGCTTGACCGTTTAATCTTTTGTCCCCAGGTCGAAACCTACCAGTACATGGGTAAAAGCCCACTAGTGGGCTTGCATAGATTAGTTTTATATGAAACTTTGTTACCCTGCATATGGTTGTGCAAAAAAAAAAAAACTCAAATTGAAGGCAAAGCTACATGTTCACTGAAGCACGGGCGTTGGGATCTTGGCCACAAACACCAACAAATGGCTGCAATGGGATATCCGAGCAACCAGCACAGTAGTACGAGCACTTCTTGTGGCATCGACTACATTGTCGCTGCACACGTTTACCTGTCGTTCGTGCTTCAGCATATTGTGGGAGATCGCGGAACGCCGTCAGTGTGTGAGCCGTCTGATGAACACAATGCACGCCAATGTCAGCGCAATACAGTAAATAGCGCTGGTACAATTAGTTACCTCTTCATTTCCATCGGATCTGCTGTTAGATCGTAGCGACCGCTTCATTGTGTGCTCGTTGAAAAGGAGCTGATGCGCGAGTTGTGACACAAAGTCGTTGAAATTCAACAGTCTTATCAAAAACATTGTTTTCGATCAATTCATACCGATATGCATCGTAAGCGTCTACAACTGTCATCCCAAGAATCGTTGAAAACACTCTGTGCATTCACGTTTGTGTAACCCACTCGCGTTCTGTTGCCAAGGATGCTTGGCGTAGGTGATCGTGGACATCAATCGTTTAGATCTTGCTGAAAAATAATTGAACCATCTGAGGACGCTTGACCCGTTTTTCATAACGTTGTGTCTCTAGTTTACCATTCCGAACAACTGTGCGATGTCTGACACGAACACTATCTGTTCCAGGTAGTGTTGTTCCCCGATTTGATATAAGCATTTTGTTTTTTCGGTCGGCCCAACACAAAGCATACATTGCCTTACCAGAATCAGTAAAACTTGACATAGTTTTGAATGAACCCCGTGGCGGGTTCGTACCAGCCCAATTTATAAAATGAAATTTGGGATAATCTTTGCTCGCCGTCTTCACGATGCCCATAAAATACAAACCAACTTTTTCTCCAGCTGAACCAGTGTTTTCACTGAGACAAAGCCACCACAGTCCTTCCACTTCCTTTGTATTTTTCCACAAGGCACAAAACTACTGCAGTTGTGGTGTAGTGATTTCCAAGTAATCGCTGAAGTGGCTACATTCAAGTTGCTCAAGCCACGAACTCTTGGTCATGCAACAGGT